CGCCCGGGCCGCGGCCAGGGGCGTGGAGCCCTGCGGGCTGAGCGCGCGTGTCTGTCTGCTTGTCCGTGTCCGTGTCTGCGGGTGCGCGCGCCGCCCCGTGAGCCCAGGGCAGGGCGGCGGGGTCGGCGTTCGGGGATCCACCCGAGTGCGCCCGCGTGTGCGCGCGTATGCGTGTGTGCGCACACGAGTGTGTGCGGGTGCGTGTGCACGGCTGTGCGCGCGGGCCTGTTAGGAGTGTATTTGTGTGGATGGTGAGGTGTGCACGTCCTTGTGCAGCCGTGCGTGTGTGCGCACGGCCGTGGGTGCGAGCGCGCTCTCCCGCGCACGCGGGGGCAGCCTTTGTGTGTGCGGGTGGAGAGAAGCCGAAAAGCCGAAGGTCCGCCGGACTCCAAGGCCCAGCCTGGGGCGGCGCCCGGCGGGCGGACGGTGGGAGACTCCAGAAGCCCGGCCAGGCCTCGGCCCTGTGCTCCACCCTCCCCACCCCCACCCCTCTGGAGCGATAACACCGGACAACCCAGCGGGACAGGAAAGGGGTGGAGGGACAGCAGACTGTCGACACCGGGGAATTGGTGAGGGTAGGAGGGTGCCAGAGGACAGCAGGGACGGGGCAGCAGCCAGAAAGAGGAAGTGTGCGAAGGGGGGATAAGAAAGGGGGCAGAGAGCTGGCCCACTGCGTTTCTGGTCTGGGAGGGTGGCTCGGCTAGGTAGCATCCCGGAAAGCGCTGAGGTCCCCTCCACAGCCCGCTACTGCGGGTGACTCTGGACACCAGGGCCCTCGAAAGCAATTTCAGACCTGCGAAGGGTACTAACTGCAACCGGAACGCGACTTCACAGCTGAAGGGACTCACTTGTGCTGCCTGGCTTTCCTGGGTGCCAGCACACAGTCGCTGCCCAGCACAGTTTAACCCACCCTCTGCAGGCTTCCTGCTGTCCCCGGAAATCCCGGCTCCTCTCCTGACCCCGCAGAGACAGAAGGTGATTTCCTGCCCTCCCCGGGGCTAAAAACCCAGAAGCTAAGAAGGGGCAGGGTGGAGCTGGGCTTTAAGCCATTCTCTGGCTCCTAGCAGACATCTTGAGGGCTCCTGTTTTGCCAGAGCCTCTTCTTCCTTTGCAGGTAGTGGCAGGATGTGAGGTCTTTCTCACGCTGTATGCGCTGGGATTGGGCTACCTGGACCCGACAGGTCCCTAATACTGGAGTATTAGTGAAAAGAAAGGAAGCTATCATTGACTCTGAAGCAGTTGTGGGCCTGGAAACAGTTCCTGTAATTATGCTCAGAAGTAGTTACCTATGTTGTTTATATAGAGGGTGCTGTTTGTATGGAGCTGGTAATGATAGCCCAGTAAAATTACTATAATTATGTCCAGACTGGGGGAGTGGAGGCTGATGGGTAGGCAGAGTGGTCTATGTCAGGGCAATATAAACAGTTAGAAGAGCCAGGTGCGGTGGCACACGCCTGTCATCCCAGTCCTGGAGAGGCTGATGCAGGAGGATTGCTGTGAGTTTGAGGCCATCCTGGACTCCATAGTGAATTCAAGGCCAGCCGGACCTACATAGTGAAACTCTGTTTCAAAACAAAAAAAAAAAAAGGGAGAAGTGGTGCCAGTTGTGGTGGTGCAGACCTGTAATCCCAGCTACTCAGGAGGCTGAAGAGAAAAGGATCATGAATTGGAAGCCAGCTTGAGTGACATAGTGAGACTTGGTTTCAGAAAGAGAGAGAGAAAAAGAGAGAGCAGCCCCTTTTAAGCTTCTGCGCTCCAGCCTCACCCCTAAGAGGAAGCTACCAGCTGTTTCTTCATGGGTCAGGGAGCAGATTAGAGTCCTCCTTGCTGTGAGACAGAAAGACCTATAACCTGTGAGACACAAAGACCTATAACCAGGATAGAGCGACCAGATCCTGCCGCTCTACACGTCAGTGTCCTTATCTACAAGGGTTGATCAAATACTGTGTGTTTAAATTTCTTTTTAAATTTTAAACCCCTTTATTATACTGTAGTTACCAATTTAACAACCCACCTACTTAAGCTTCCCTGAGTGTATGTGGTTTTTTTAAAGAGGGAAAAAAAAAATAAAACAAAATTTCAAAACAAGATAATAGGAGGGAGCTGGGCGTGGTGGCGCATGCCTGTAATCCCAGCACTTGGGAGGCTGAGGCAGGAGGATCGTTGTGAGTTCGAG